TTTTTAAAAAAGCATCCTTCCATTTCTTTGATGCTGGAGGATCATTTTTCACACTTTTGCAGACTGTGGCAAGAAAATTTACTAAATGTACAATTGATTTTTCCATTAAGATAGCACACTATGATAAACACACTTAAGGCTGCAAGGACCCTTTACATCAACAGACACCTTGATGAGGCATTTGTCTTCAAGTCCTCAGAACTTTACAGACCTTTATTTTTAGATAACAATGTAGACCACAGGTCAGCAAACTACTGCCAGTGGGCTAAATAAATAGGATCCACTTCCTGTTTTTGTAAATGCAGTTTTATTGGCACACAGTCACACCCACTTCTTTATGGGTTTGTCTGTGGTGTTTTTTGAGCTACAATGGCAGAGGTAACTAGTTAGGGCAGAAACGGTACAGCCTGCAAAGCCTAAAATACTTACTAGCTGGTCCTTTGCAGAAAACATTTTCTGACTCCTGATCTAAAACCTAATTGCTAACTGATTCTTCAGATTCTGTGAAGTTTCTTTCCTAAGTTCTATTTTGTAGCTGTTTCGCCCACTGGTGAAATGACACACATTCAACTGTGCGGTAAAACACACTTCATTTTTAATAATTACGTATTGCTTATATACCCTTCTGTATTTTAACATTTCCTCTATTTTCTTCACCTGAATGTATCACCCTTGCTAAATAAATCATGTCTGAAACCCTTTCTACAAAACTGAGATAAATGAGAGATTTGATGAGATTTACACTTTACTCTCATGACTGGATAGATGCAGCGAGCTGGGAGAATATTTTTTGTTTTCTGGGCTGCCTTATTTAATGGGGTTCATTTAACATGGTTCCTGGGGCCTTTGAAATCAACACCCCATTGCAATTGAGTGGAGAATAGGGAGAATGGTACAATTAATTTGACATGTAGCTCTCTATCCACTTGTTTTGGAATTAAGTAATAGCGAGAAGAAGGGAATAACTTGAAAATAAAAACATTGGAAACCTATTAGAGTTAGGAGCTCACACTTTTTTTTTTTTTTTTTTTTTTTTTTTTAGCTGAGCCATCCTGCCACCTGTTGTTGGCAGCTCAGCGACTGCTCAGCTTGGACTGGGAATCGAGCCACTGTTGCTCAGAGCTCAAACTCTTGAGCGAGCTCTTAACCAACTGAGCCACTCAGCCAGCGAAGCTCACACTTTTTTGAAACCAGGTTTTGAGAAATATTTACAAAACGCATAATCTCGTTCTTATTTATAAATATTGAATGAAGATTTGGCCCATGTTTGAGATCAACTTTGATGTCCTCTCATACAATTCTATAATACTAATTCCCAAATATGGTGGGAAGGGACTTTTCACATTAATACGGTTCACAGAATTAGTTCCTAAACATTTTTCAAAATGCTGTCTATAAAATGAAAATCTCATTTATTTATCAACAATTGTTGACCTCGCTACACGCATACTGCAAAGAAAGTCATTACTTAGGTATTAAAAGCAGCTGCTATTTACTAAACGTTGACTATGTACCAAAGCTTTAATTTTCATCCTTACAAAACCTCTCTTGCCTCATTTTACAGATGAGGGAACACGATTAGGAAAAATTACATCCCTGTTTTGTGCCCAACCCAAAATTCCAACTCCAGCAGTTCGACCTCAGAACCTCTCTTTGAACCATGTTCTCCCCCAAGTCTGATAAGATAAGCTCAAACACAACCAACTGTCGTGTACTAACTAGCACTTGATTTTTTCTTTTTGAGGTGGGGACCACTGAAAAAGGGTTGATAACTGTTCTAGGTGGGAAGACACTAGATGTCTCTTGGAGGAGATAGGCTTGGGTTCACCTAGGCTCACTAATTAAAGACAAGGAAGGTATTCCAGACATAAGTCATAGCAAGTTCAGAGGCAGAGACATTCAGCGCGAGGCACGAAGGGACATGAGAACAGGCTGTAGCCAATTAGAGGAGTGGGAAGGGGCTGCTATGTGGACGTACCATACAGGAAATCAGTGCTTTTCAGATGTCACCGTGCCAAGAATCACCCGAGGTGCTTGTTTACAATGAACATTGCCGGACCCAAATTTCCAGAGCATCTTATTCAGCAAGACCCGGGAATTTACATTTCAACAGGAGTATTAGATGATTACAATGTAGAGCAGCCTCTTTGTTCACACTGTTAAAAATGCCGGGAAATCAATATGCTGGAGCATGACATGGTTAATGTTGTTGTGTTTTGGAAAAACCAACACAGAGCTCAGTGGAGGAAGGAAGCCGTTCTCAAATATGATTTTTGGTTTATTTTGAATTCAGAAATAACATAAAGGTGGCTTTTCTTAATGATTTACAACACACACACACACACGCACGCACGCATACACTCAAACACCCTTTTGTTTGTAATTGCTTTCAGATGCTACGTAGAGTGCTAGGTTATGAAAAATGCTAAAAGAACAGCATCCAGTTGTATTAATTTTTTAAGGCACTGGAAGCTACAGAAATGCATGTGCTATTCAAACCAACTCTTATTTCTGTTTGCCATTCTCAATCCTTCCTACCCTAGCAATTAGAAAACTGCAGATCAATTAATAGGGAATCAATTGTGAATAAATGAATGAGTTGTTTAATTGAATCATATTTTCAGTAGAACCTAATTTCACACACTATAACTGAGGGATCATTTAATAAATCAAGCAAAAGGCAGTGCTTCTATACTTTTCCCTGGGATTAATTTAACCATTTGAAGGACTAATTACTTAAGATAAAATTTCAGCTGGCCCATAAATTTAAGATTTACTACTGTCTTGTTATACTAGAAGGTAAAAGTTGTCCTTTCCCACTGGCTTTGACTACGTCTGCACTAGAGTAAGTGAAGACAAACTGCACTGTAAACATTGTCTGTTTCTTTTCAATATTTGTGGTCAGGTGGCTCCAAAAAATATTTGTATTGTAGAAAATTGATATATCCCCACCTTGCAAAAGACAATGTCAGTATGTACATTTTTAAGTATGTAAACACCCTTGAAAAGAAAAAGGAGGGAATAACCATCGAAACTCATCTGGAATTAAATAGACTCTAAATGTCAGTTTCTCTTGGGGGAAGCAGAGATGGGCTTGACCCACTGGACATTCTCAAAGTCAGCGTGCCAGATCACACACTGATGTTTATTCCACACTTAAGCTTGTTCAACACAGATGGTAGGCATAAAAGAGCTGAACTCTAGTGAATCATGTCTGGGCAGGATGATAGATACGGTCTTTTTTGTTGACAGTAGTGTTGTTTTCACATTCCACTTGAATTAAATTATGCTCATTCATGTCATAGTACATAATCTCTGGCAGAGATGCTTAGAAAAAGTCATGCGGACCCACGGCAAAACAAGAGGGAAAAATAAGGTAGCACTGTAAGCCCTATATATAAGACAAAATATAAGACAAAAGTTGAACGGCCTCCATTTATTTAAAAATATTTATATAAATATCATTAGATTAACATTTATTAATATGGATTCATATATATTATATATAAATGTATATTTAGATATTGCCATCCAGGGACCATGTAAATCTTTAACTTTAACAGGCTGGCAAAAAAATATTGTGAATTTCTAATATGAAAAAGAAAACATGTATCAGACACACTAGGCATGATCATATTTATGACACTGGCCCTCCCTTCAAAATGTTCACAATCAAGTCTGGTAAATAAGGCATAAGCACATGAAATTTTATATGAAGGAGAAAAGTTAGATAGTCAAGTAAGACATGAGTCACAGCAATCACAAAGCTTTATCAGAATGGGCCCTGGAAAGTAAGTTCTGATTCTTGAAAAATGAATAGACTATATCTAGATAGATAAGGAGGGCAGAAAATTATTTCAGTCAAGGAAGAGAGAAGGAATCAACAAATGCTTATTAACCCAGTGCTTTCTAAAGTAGACCATTTTGATTTGGCCTAATTACAGTGCTGTTAGGGGTCCCCAAGAACACAATCAGGTTGAATGATTCACTGAAAGGACTCCCAAAAATCAGACAAGCTCTTATACCCAAGGTGGCCATTTACTGCAGCAAAAGGACACAGAATAAAATTAGCAAAGGTGAAAGGCACATATGACAGAGTTCAGGAGAGACAAGCTTCCCGTTTTCCTCTCCCAGAGGAGTCACACAGGCAGCACTCACTCCCCGGCAACAACTTGTGAAAGCACACAGCATGTCCTGCCAACCGAGGAAATTCATCCAAACCTTGGTGTCCAGGTTTTTTATTGCTGGTCAGTCACGTAGATATGCAATGCTCCATGACTGACCTTATCTCTAGCCTCTATTCCTCACATAGGTCAAACTGATACAGCATGGCCTAGGGCTCCAGGTGAATAAAACAGTTGCCATAAATTATATTGTTAGCATAAAGATCCTGTATAGCCCAAGACCGGAGATGTACAAAGACACACTTATCTGGCAGGATATTAAAAGGGCTTAGAGGTTATCTCTCCCAGGCGGCCAAACAAAGACCAGCTATTTCTTTGGAATGTGTGGGTTTGAACACCCCAGTCCTGCTGAGTTAACCCTTTACTGCACAAGAGAGTTTGTGTTACTGTGGGTCTTAAACGTAAAGATTTAAGAAAATCAAAAAGACCTGAAATCCTGCAAAATATTTGACTGTATCCATTTGTTTGGATGATCAGGGAAAAAAAAAAAATGGTGACAACCAATTTCATAGACTGCCGGTTGGTCTTACCTGTGGGTAGGGACCCAAGTGTCCTGCCAATTGCATGAACCTCAGTGGAGTCATTTGCTGCCATGTTTGACCCTAATCACATGACCACGTAGGAGCGAGTTGTTACACAGAACACTGTAAATACTTTACTGCTACTCCAGTTAACAGTTCTGTAGAAAAAAGCTTACGTTGTGCTAAACTGCAAGTTTGGGAATTAACTACTTACTGATCTTTTTCTTTTAATTTTTGCCCCTCACTCTACACCCCCTGCTCTCTTTTCTGAACTGCAATGTGATCGTCTCTGAAGATGTTCGAGTGGATTTGATCGCCATCGACAGGACTGGGTGGACAGTGGATGCCCTGAAGAGGTACACATGTGCTTTATTATGACAAGAATCAGGGGACCAAGCTGTCATATATAGCTGCTACAACTTAATGAAAATAGTATCTAATTTGACCAAAGTAGCCAGCAGTTTTTAAGTCCCTAATATGTGCCAGACTTTGGGTTTAAGTCTGCATGTATTTTCTCAATGTATTCTCATACCTGTCCTGTGAGGTAGGAACTGTGTTATTGCCCCATATTACCAAGCGGAGACCAGGGAGGGGTGAGAGGAGGTGGTGCAGAGGTGTGGAGTGAGGATATCCAGAGCTGTATGTGTGACTAGGGAATGGTAGAACCAGGATTTGAATCTCTGTGAACAAAGGGTAGCTCTCCAAATACACTTGCTGCTTTACTAAGATCTAGGAAGCCATTTTTCATCTTTTTCACTCAAATTACAAAACCAGTAGTATGGAGGAAAAGATTGATTGCAGCAAATTTTCATGCTGTAAGAGGTTAAAAATGATATAACATGGAAACAGTAACTCCCAGGTGACCATGATAGAGACAATGATGCATTGAAATGATTCAAACAAGTGTATACAGTTGCAGAAGCAATTTTAACCTAGTGAATTTCATTTACACTGTCATTTCAGGGTCACATAAAGATATTCTGTTTATGAACAAACAAAGAAAAGTGTTTCTTCTCCCTTTGTTATGTTTTAGGGTATGAATAAAAACCATGAACAGTTATACAAATTTTCTCATTCAGTAAAGCAAATCATGTCAGAGTGCTATTTTAAAAATTATTAGGTGATCAATAGTTATTAGATTCTTTTTAAAAATTAATTTTTATTTATGATGTCACATACATATCTTAATAAATACACCTTTGAAAATTTTCTTGAACTTCAGTCAACTTTTGATATTCATTTGGGTGATTACAGTGATATATACTAATCCATCTATTTCACTTCACTTACTTAACATATTTCAAAAAGAAAATGTATTGACAGAGTCATAGTTGTATTTTTAGGTTGATGTTTCTTTCATGTAATCACAGTTACATCAATTAAAAACATTTAATTTGAATATCTATATTTGCGTAAAGATCAAGGGTATAATTCAGACATCTTAATTTTCTTGCTTCAGTGTGGGCCCACCATGAACCATAGGAGACAGAGAAGAATCCATCATATTTTAAGTCCTCCTAAATGTATTTGTGGGGAGTTTACCATGTTCTGTGGCCTGTGCTAAGCACTAAAAATTACAAAGATTAAAAAAAAATTACCCTCCACTCCCAAGGAGCTCAGAATCTAGTAGTCAGTAGTTTCTATTGTAGTCTATAATATTCAGTGTTTTCTTTTAGTAAGCAATTCTCCCCTTCTTTTACAAGTAAGTAAACAAGATCACCAGCTCCTGTCCATTTTCTGTGCCTAAACCAGAATTAAATTTTCATTCTGATCTTGTGAGATGAGTTTATTCACTAAGTGCAAATCCTAATACTAGCATTTACTACATACTGTTCTAAGCACCAATAATGTAAAAGTTTAAGAAGTGTGTCCAGCAGGGTAGCTAGACCACTGGACAAAGGGCTGCACTTAGAGAATGATACGGACAAAGATACAGGAACTACAAGTGCACGGCCTTGCTAAGTAGAGTAAGAGAAGGTTTGCTTGAGGAGGTGAGATTTAAGGTGATGCCTGAAGGGTAACGGGAGTTTTTAGAAGAGGAATGGCAAGAGATGACACTGGAGATGTAAGCGGGGACCAAAATGTGACAAGTCAAAGGAGTTTGGGCTTTATCTTGGACAAGAGAAAGCTACTTGAAGGATTTGAATTAAGGGGATGATTTGATCCAAATGACTTTTTAAAGAATCCCCCCTGGCTGTGGGTAAATAATGGATTATAATCGAGAGGCCAATAAGTTGTCTGTAGCTGTAACCTAGACCAAAGGTGCTAATAATCCGGCATAAATCAATGGGAAAGGTGGTGGTGACCACAAGGCGTTGGTGACCAGAGGGGGGCGGTGCAAGGATCCTTGGGTAGCTTGTTGAATGGAAGTGAGAAGGATGAAAGTGTTTTAATGTTTTATTTTCCTTTTCTTTTGAAAAATCCTTTTAACACTTTTACAATATGAATATAATTCTGAAACACAATAAACAATGAATATCCATGATCATACAATGCAAGCTAAGACCTAGAATTCCTGATAACTATAAAGCCAGCCCTTTGCTCCCACTCCATTGCATCCTCACCTCTCCCTCTTAAAATAAATGAAACTATTCTGAACTTTAGGTTCATCCCTCAGAATTTTGTTGTTCACACTAACCCATGGTGATGCCTGTGTGGTGGCTTATTCATTTTCATGGCTCTATATCCCGTGGTATGTCCCAGGCACTTTTTACATACTAGGATGCCCGTCTTTTGTTTATGGACATTGTTTCCAGATTCTTTCCTATTTCAAAAACATCTTATGCTTGTCTCCAGAATTAAAGGCACAAAAGTTTCTCTACTATTCCTTAAAGTGGAACTACTGAATGTGAGTTAGGTACATATTCAACTTTGAGAGATAATGCCAGATCGTTAATGCTACCAGCTGTCCTAGAACTGCTTCGAATTCCCATTATTTCATGATCCTGACAACCCTGGTTTTGTCATATTTCTTTATCTCTGCAAACCCAATGGGTGTGTAGGGAAGTTACTTTGCGTTTCACCAATCGTTGATGAAATTGAATGTACTTTCATATGCTTTTTGGCTTCTGTGTTTCTGCTTTTGTCTTCCCTCTCCTGTGAGATGCCTGTTCATATATTTTTCTCATTTTTTTAATTGAATATCTACCTTTCTCTTTTTATTCAGAACACTAAGTTTTCATTGATTATATGTAACTAACATAATAGATGTGATATATAGCCACCTTATAAAACTCTTTTGCTAATTTAGAAAACAATTCAAAGCACTTGGTGGTTCTCTATTGAAACATTCATATCACCTATAAATAATGAGAGTTTTGTTTTTTTCTGTTCTTTAAGTCATCTTATTTGTTTTTGTTGTATTGCTCTAGCTAGTATCTCCAGTTGTATATATTTTCTTTCAGATTTGGTTTAATCTTTTCAATTTCTCTATGATTTTATTTAGTCACTATTCATTCACAATTTAATGTGTCTAATTAATCAGCCTTTTATGGTTATTTTCATGTGTGTGTATATCTTGTTTAAAAAGACTTTTTCTACCAAACTTCAAGAAGTTTGTTTCTTCTTGAAACTTCAAGAAGTTTGTTCATATGTTTCTTCTAAATGTGTTAAAGATTTGTCTTTTACATTAAAACCTTTATTCCATTTGAAATTGGTTTCTATGTATAAAGTAGAAATCCAATTTTGAGGAGATTTTTCCCCCTTATGGATAATTTCATGCAGCATTTATTCAATAATCCTTCCTTTTAGCAATTTCTTTCAAAGCCACTTCTTCATTATATAGTTTCCATACAGTCTGTGTCTGGGGTCTCCTGTCCTAATGCTCAATTTGTCAATACCCCGACCAATATCACACTGTCTTAATTACTACAGTTTTATTAGAAATTTTGCTATCCAGAGGACAAGTCTCCTTACTTGTTCTTCTTCAGAAGTGTTTTGGCTAATTGGGGACTTTTGTTCTTGATATAAATTTCACAGTCAACTTCACAAGATCTGTAACCAATCAATCTCATTAATATATTTATTGGAATTACATTGAATTGTGAATTATATTGCATTCCCAAATTATGGATATTTTAAAATTTTCTCTTTTTGTTATTGACTTCTAACCTAACTAAATTGTTGTCAGTGAGCATATTCTACTCATATATGATACTGATTCTTTAAAATTGGTTGGAACTTTTTTGTGGAATAGCATATGGGCAATTTAAAAAAGTGATCTACATGTGCTCAAAAAAGAATGTGTTTTCTAATTGATAGGGTCAAGTTTGATAAATGTAGTATTCATTCAGACTTCCACCATTGTTTTTTCACCTTCTGAGCTCTTTGGAGATAGGCTTCTCATCACTTCTTTGTATCTTTTATGTGTCTTGTGTATCATCTCATTTCTCTGTGCTGCATCCTGGGGAATTTCTTCAGATCTATCTGCAGGTTTATTAGTTCTCCCTTCATCTTGTTTCATCTGCTATTTAATCTATATATGAGGTAGTAATTTCAATCAATATATTTTTGTTTCTAAAATTTAAATTGGACTTCTTAAGTTTGCCTAGTCATTTTTATAGTCTATATTATTAGTTCATTTTAAAATTTTATATTTCATGTCTTTAAATATTTCATATATAATTTTTATATATTTTATATTGGATGATCCCAGTATTTAAAGTGTTTGGTAGCCTAAATATATCATTTATTATTTTTTCTCTTTGCCAAAGCACCCTTTTTCTTCTCGTGTGTGTGTGTGTGTGTGTGTGTGTGTGTGTGTGTGTCCTTTAATTAGAAGTGCATATTTATTCGATCCTATCCCATGGGAGTCCCTATGACATAAATAGGTGATGTTTTTCATCAAAGAGGGTTTGATGATGGGAACCCGAGCATTTTAAAGGATACCATATGCCCCTGCCTTAATATGAGGAGGGGAGGTTTAGATTTATCTCCCTCATCTACTGCTGGCACTAGCTTGATCTCCTTAGAGCAATATTGGTTTTTGACATTTTTGCCCTCAGAGTAAACCCTGCTTTTGTACTTAATGTGTACTGTTCCTACTGCCTTTATAACACACAGCTTTTACTTTGTTTTGTTTTGTGAGAAGACAATAGAAAGGCATCCTTGGAGATTTTTTTTACTTCCTGCAAATCCTAGTAATGCTTTAAAATTTATCTTTTTATCCAAAATCTATTAGTATTATGTTCTACTTACATTTAGAGTCTTTAGTCTACCTTTACTGCCATAAGCAAGCCAATCCAAGATTTTACCTTAAACTTTAAGTGTTTGATGATACTTTTTTCTTTTCTGTTTCTTTTTTGGAAATAAAAACACAGGAGGAGACTAATATGTGGCAAGTCCCATTTTAGACTTATTGAATTTGAGATGTCTATGACATCCATATGTATATGTTAAGTCAATAAATAAATATTTGGGTCTAAAACCCAAGAGACAAATGTGGATGGGAGATGCAGATTTATGAATGATAAAGATGTTCATTGAAATCATGGGTGTGGAGGAGATTGCTAGTGAGAATTCATGCAGTGAAAAGATGGGTCAAGAACAATCCTTAAGAACCACTGACACTTTGGGGGGATAGAGAGAAATAAAGGAAATAGAGAAGGAGTTGTTAGAGATGTATAGAAAATTGACGAACATGTGTGTCACAAAACCCAAGATTAGAAAGTGGACAACTGTGCCAAATGTTGATGAGGTATCAAGAGTATACCACGGAAGGTTTAATAAATAAGGAGATATTTAGAAACATTGGCATGAGAAATTTCATTTAAGGAGGACTGGTAAAAACAAGATTTTCATAAGTGCGAGTCTGAGAAGACCAGGGAACACCAGTCTTTCTGGGAGTATGACTGTGAATGGAAGGAAAAGCAGGAAAATGTCAGGATGCACCATGGAGAAAAGGGAGGGCTGAGCTTTTAAATAAGGGTGGACACACGAGTATGTTTCAGTGCTGATGGTAACAAGACAGTGGAAAATTAGAAATTCAAAACACTGAAGAGAAAGGATGGGATCAAATGAGCAAGTTTACAATACCTGAGAAGGTGGCCTGAGTTGCGCCAGAGTGGAGGTTGAGAGGATAGCTATAAGTAATGGAGCCCATCCATTATAACAGAAGGAAAGAAGAATAGGTTAGTATAGATTCAAACAAGAATGCTGATTTGTAAAGAAATTTAAAGAATTCTTGCTGATGACTCTTTTATTTAGGAAATAAAAGGTGAGCCCATGGGGTAAAAATTGGAAGAGGCATTGTGGGATTGTAGTTATGAGTAGAATGGAGAGGATTTGAAATTGATCCTGAGGATAATGGGAGGGCAGTGTTGCCAAGCAGCATGGAAGGACCTGCAGAGATGCAGGAGCTAAGTTTGCAGAGCTCCACGTGGGGGATGGTGTGATGGTTCTCCAGCTGTGCCTGGCTTTGGAGCAGACAGGAAAAAGGTACAATTTTTTTTTACCATATTCAGTGTTGGTGATTTTCTGAGAAGGCCATATGGAAAAATTTGGGGCATGACTCGATGTTATTGAAAAGATATGGAAATGATGGAAAAAAGGAGACTTAAAGGAAGAAAATCATTGTGCTGGGGCTTTTTATGTAGTCACAGGATAAGAAGAATTTGAGTGAACAGACAGGTGCATAGATAGGCTGAAAATCAGATAACTGAATTTATTATTTCAGGACTAAAGTATTTCCAACTTAAGATAAGGTCCAGGATGCGGGAATGATAACTAAAGCGGAGTCAAGAAGGAGATAATGAAATCACTGGAGCTGAGAAGATGCAGGAACTAAAGTTGGGGAAACAAAACAGGTCCCTGAGATATTAAAGTAGATAATAAAGTGTGTCATATCCAATTAGTGAAAAGGAAGCCATCTCAGGAATTCTTCCTAACCCATAATAAGGTGCATTGTACTTCACTAAGGACAAGAGGAGTTTAAGGAAAGTATTTATGTAATAATAAATTCAAATGTGGGATGAGTACCATCCACGTGTAGAATAGTTACCTGCTACTCAAGACCCATCAGAGGGATGGAGCTCTTTGAAGCGCAAAGAGGTGGAAAGAAACATCAACTTCTAAGCCATAAAGGCTTGGAAATTGAAGATTGTTACTGGTGAAGGTGATATGGTTTATTTTTATGAGCTATAAATGAAAACTACGATATGTACCTTTTCTGGTGTCCTCAGTATAGTTCTGCTAAGGAAAAAATAGGCTAAGTGATTACAGAACGCTGTTCAATCCTCTGCATGGTTGGTTTTGAATATTTCATAAAGGAAGACAAAATGTTAAGTATCTATTCAACCTATGGTGCATTATTTTTTAAACAATAAAGTAGTATGGAGTCGCAATTCTTTTTGAATTTATCGTCATCAGTTTGATATGAAGGGAATATATTCTTTCTTCACATCGCTAAGCCTGTTCTAAAACTTATCTTTATGCACATGTTTTTCTTCTTATATGAACTTTTCCCTTTTGACATCATGTCTTGTACAAATATATTAATATAAAATTTAGAGACAAATTTTAAGGCAAGATAAACAGTAATATGAAAGGTTATCAGCAGAAAATTATGAACTCCAAATATCTAAACATGGAAGTGCTTTGTTATATCCAATTTTTTTCCCTTGTCTATTTTACATACTTTGTGAGAAAAATCTGTAAATATAGCCCTGTAGAAAAATAATTTATTCCTCATCTTGATTTGAGAGATGTTTGTGCTTTATAGACCAACTTCTTGATGTCATTTAAAAAAATATATCTACGATCACTCTTAAATTTTTTCCCCTCTGTTTCTCTTATTAGTCCAAAGAAAAGATGTGTGAGAACACAGATCCAGTGGAAAGTTCTTCTCAGACCACCACAACCATACGCGCGACAACCACACAATTCAGGGTCTTAACCACCACCAGACAAGCAGCGACATCGCAGCTGCCCACCAGCCTGCCCACAGAAGGTGCTCTAGAGATATTTTTGGTTTTTTCCCTAAAGGAGGGAAATGTCACAGAGTTGATATACACCAGGGTCACTCTCTAGAGGGAACATTTTCCTTTAGCAAACTGAATTTCTAAGGGATTTCTAAAAGGAAAATGACAAAACTATTATGGAATAAAAAATAAGTGTTGGGATTCTTGTAATGGACTGTGCCATTGACTAACAGTTCGCTTTCACTAGTGGCTACTTGTCTTTTCACTAGAAAGGGAATGCAGACTTCCTTTCATATTGCTAAACTTTGCAGTAACTGAATTCAGCATTTTAGTCACAAGATAGAAGAAAGGCAAATGAGTATAAAATGTCCATTGATTTTTGGATCCTGAACAATAGGTAATTCTACCTATTTAATATTTTTCCTGAATACAGTCAATAAAAATAGAGGGCACTGTGTATGTCACAGAAATTGCCCTTGGAAGGCATTTCCTCTGCCAGGGAATGGGAAAATACCAAAGAACATTAATGCATGGGTACAACTCATTGGGGGAAGAAGTGTATGAGCCAAAATGTGTTAACCATCTATTCTAAATGGTACCACCAAAGAGAAATGTGAGCCTCCGTGGCCAAGAGGAAGTTTTGAGAGGGGAAACAGTGGCCTTGTTTACTGTCATAAACCTTGCTTTCATTTGAATAAGAAATTATACTTGAAATTTTTACTTTTAATTGTAATTTAATTGGATATTAAAAGTTAACTGGAATAAAGGGAGGTGGAGGACAGCTGCTAAATGCATGCTATTGCTTTTATATGTTACGTTTTTATCCATGTTATTTTGGGTTGTCATATAGCCTATGAAAATATTTTGGTAATTTGAATCCTATCCTTTAGAATAAAATATAACTACTGAAATGAAAAAGAATGCCCTACCTTTTTGTTCATTAAGGACAAGATTTTTCTTCATATGTGATGTTGGACATATTTTTTAGCAATGAATAAGCATTTAACTTTTGAAGTTAAATTTGTAAACATTGACAGATCTTTATTATTCCAATTAGTTTTGAATTTTCTTGATCTTGATTCTTAAAATGAACAAGAAAGTTCATAATTATAGAGTCTAATTATAAAAGCTCATTTTATAAAATAAAAAATAAATGTATTTTAATTTAAAATTATAACAGTGTACTTTCCTCACACCTGTTTACAATCATATTATACTTTACTAAAGTCTTGATCTTATAATTTCAGTAAGGAATTTTAGTATTATGTCATGTAAGCTAGGACTGACTCTCATTGAATTAGAAATTAACTCAGTAAAATATAAAAATCCATTCATGTTCTAGCATTATTAGACAGTTACTGCTCATAAGATTTATGTACCTTTAAATTATTTTCTCTTGTAATAACTTTAAATTTCTCTTTCAGATGATACCAAGATAGCACTTCATCTAAAAGATAATGGAGGTAGGAACTGATACTTTTATAAATATTTTTAGATACTAATCCATTGCATTCATTTAAATGTGAGAAAGGACTTTTGGGTTTCTAAATAAAGAGTGAGGTTACATTTCCCTTTCTGTTGGTATCAAACATGAGAAGAATTCAGTGAGTTGGCTTAAAAACTGAAATGGTCTCAAGAGTGGGACGAAATTCTAATACATGTATTTGCCTATAAAACTACATGACACCAATGACCAAGGATGAAGTGACAGCTTTATATGCTGTCCTTCGTTGTTTTGATGTATGGAGTGCTGGGATAATGGCTAGGATTAAGATGGAGAGGATTAGGGCTAATCCCCCCACAGGGCTTCCTATTTTTTGTCACTCTGGTTCTTGGTTTAATTGTATATGTAATTATCTACACATTGCAGGTATTGGGTTCAACTTTATTTTTTCCCATTCAGTTGACTATTCAATATCCTTTATAAATACAATTAAGAAATAGAGCACTATGAAAATATATTGTGCTAGGCCTTTTTATCATTTATCTGAAGCAAGGGACAAAAATAAAGCATGCAAAAGAACATTTAGCTAGAGCATACAGTTTTTCTAAGGCAATTGAGAAATATCTCTAATGGTACTTGAAAATTTGAGGAAAGAAAGGTTTTACCAAAACAAGGCTAATGGAAAAACATTGACTAAAATTTTAAAAATAGTTATTTTCCTATTAAGCTATGTTAGTTCATTTTGCTTCTCTATTCTAGTATGCTGGATCTTGATAAAAGAGTTTTTTTATCAGTAACTGTTTATTCAGCTCAGGAAGGGGGTCTCCTTTTCTTAGCAGCATCTATTATGTAAATGTGGTCATGCTGTGACATTGATCTAGACAGTTTTACTTTTTCAGCCCCAGGTGATTTGTAAGTCAAAATTGTTAGGATATTTTCCTCTATAATTGTACAGAATAGTTCCTAAATTACTCAGCCTAGGTTAGGTAACAGATATTTCTATGTTTTCTTAGGTCACTGTGTGTATATATGTATGCATATATACATATATGTATATATAGACACACAGTGACCTAAGATATATATATGTGTGTGTGTATATATGTATATATATATATATATATATATATACATATACATATATACATATATATAAACATGTATATGTATCTTTAGATTTCATATCCATTTATTTGAAAGAGAAGCTGCTTAGCCTCTTCATATTTATTATTATTATTATGTTGGCTGCTCATTGCCTTGCTTCTGTAAGACAATGTGTTATTTTAGTTATTAATAGTGTTATTTTAAAATCAGAGTGCTATTTTAGTGATTTCTTACTCATTGTATTAATGCAGTAAATGGATAGCTTTAAAATGACCATTTGCAAAATATATACTAGCTAGAAATAAATTGAAATCTTAGTGTTTAAAGGGACTTTAGCATTCTCCCAGTTCAGGATTTCTCAGAACAGGATGTGAATAATGTTGGGGTTATCTCATTTGAGGGAGGGATGCGAGATGAATGAAATGGAGGAAGTGTTCCCCAAAAGTTCTGTTGTATTTGTTATATATAGTTCTTAATATGGGTAATGGTGACAAGCATGTGTGTTATTTTATTCTCTATGCTCTCTCTTTTTTCTTTTTAAATAAAATATTCTATAGTGCTTCCAAAAGAAAACAAAAGATTCCTGTTATTAAGTAGGTGTGAGGTACTCTGGGTGACAGAAAATGAAAGAATTTTCTTTGCTGGAGAACTGTTCAAAGCTTTTATTGTTCGGTTGTTCATTCGTTTATCCCTGCTGAATGTCTGCTAATACCCAGGTATTGATACAGGCCTGGCACTATGACCGTGAACAAAGCTTAGACAAATTGCCTGCTTTCAGAGAGCATGTACTCTAAAGAAACTGGGAGATGGTAATAAGCATGGAGCATTTAGTATTTCTCATTTGGTCATAAAACCTTTCCATAAGTAGAAGCTCATGAACTTAGTGTTTTGTGGAATACACTCTGGGAAATAGTTTTCTATAGAATATTGCCAATTATCCAAGGAAAATCTTTAGTTTTGTTTAATGCAGCAAGGAATCATAAAACTTTGAAGATCTTAACTCAGTGCATTAGAACTACCTTATGATGCTGAAAAATCAAGTTAAGGAAATTCCAAGATTGAAAGGGAGGACTTTTTTTTCCTTATTGTTATGATAGAAAAATTGACTTAAATTTTCAGGTGATATTTAGATCACTGATATGCAGCAGTTATCCATCAGAATTTCAAAATATCACATTAAGACTTCAAATATGTCTATACACTAGAACTCTTTTTTTTTTTTAAAGATTAAATTTATTGGAGAATTGGGGGAGGGGAACAGTGTTGGGGAATTGGGGAAGGGGACCAGCCAAGTTGTTCTTCAGTCTTCCTTGTAGAGGGCATCAGTTGCCATCTGGCTTCCCGTCAGCAGCTCGTGGCCTCTAAGCTCAAGGTGCTGTATTCAATCTTAGTTGCAGATGGGCGTAGCCACCATCCCATGCAGGAGTCGAACCAGCAGCCTTGTTAAGAATCCATGCTGTATCCACTGAGCCATCTGGGTGGCAGCTCAGCTCAAGGTGCCAAGTTCAGTCTTCGTTGCAAGTGGGCATAGCCCACCATCAAACAGGCAATCTTGTTGTTACACCAGCTGAGCCATCCTGCCACCTATTGGCAGCTCAGCGACAGCTCAGCTTGGGTGCAGCGTCACTGGCCCAAGTGGGAATTGAACCGGCGGCCCTGTTGCTCAGAGCTCGCGCTCTTAAGCCAACTCTTAACCAACTGAGCCACTTGGCCAGCCCATAGAACTCTTGTCATGTCTAGGGTTGTTATTAAAGCACTTCTCCTAAAAGTATAGTTAGAGCAGACCATTCTGACCAATATTAAGATAAATGTTCCCTCAAAAGAGTATTTAAAGGGAATCACACATTACTTTTAGAGTACCTTCATTAGGATAGCATGCTATCATTGCTTTTCATTTTCTGGACTATGGAGTTGCATAGAGGAAGGGTTGCCAATTTAAATATAATTTCATTAGTTAATTAAACGTGTTGAAAAGAACGTTCAGAATTGTCTTCTCCCTCCCCCTCCAGCTTTATATTGTCACAAAATTGAAGTAATAATAAAAAGGATACCTAGCTTAAATGTTTTCTCACATTTATTGAGGTTTTTTTTAAATGCAAGCTGATAAATTTTTGTAAATTGCTACATATTGTTGCAAAGAAGCTTCCCACATTTTATTTCTTGATTTAATTCCCTTATTTAATTGGCTGTTCTTGAAAGCATTTTAATTTAGGGGCCTGTACTTTCCAGGAAAGGGAAACATTTTTCAAAGTGGTCAATATGTAGCTAGAAACCAATGACTGTCTTTACATACATCATCTTTAGATATTGGATTACCTTGGCCGCTGAGTCTTTATGAGATATTTCTGTGGGTTTAAGTAGTTGATTTGCTTAGTGGAATCAGGGGCTGACATGATTATATATTAACTTTCTAGGAGATCTTTCCTTCATTTTTGATACCAAAGCATAAAATACTTCTGAGCAGCTGGACCCCCAAAAGCACACAGCAGGGCTCCTCATCTACAGGGCACAAAGGAGGTGCTGTCTGCTAAGTCTCTCCTCCTGATAAATCTTCAATTGTGCATTGAATTTCCTGCTCCCTTTACATTAGGTGGAGCCTCTGGAAGTTTCAAACTCATTTGATTGGAGATGTTTTATTAGCCTTCAGGGTTGAGTGGAAATTCAAGCTCTGTAAATAATTTGGAGAAAGGAACATGAAAAAAATGTAAACCAAGAGAACGATAGCTAATGAGTGCAGGCCCCCTTAGTAAGATATAGCATTGACGGACCATTGTAAATGGCCGAACACAAAATCTCCGAAGGGTCTGTCTAAAGATGGCATTATCAAATATGTGGAGACAGAAGGAGAACTGACTCTGGGGATGAGCACACAATGTGATACATAGATGATGTGCTATAGAAATGTACAGTTGAAGCCTATATAATTTTACTAACCAGAGTCACCCCAATAAATTTAACAAAGATTAAAAACAAAAAAACAAACAAAAAAAAAACCTGTCTTCCTCTTCCTCTGCTTTACCATGTCCAAGTTAGTTAACACAGAATAAGCAGCAGGCACTAAACAACAACAATAACACGGCTTTGTGTCTCCAACTGAAAGATTGCTGGTGGCATGTTTATAATATTAAGTGTAGAGTAATACACGTCTAATCAAGTAGCAAGCATACCTTTCCCTCATTTATGTGAAAAACAGAAGAGAAGGAGAAAAAAGAGGAAGAAGGGGGGAAGGGAAGGAGGAGAAAAAGAAAAAGAAGTGGAAAAAGGAGTGTTTCCTGAGTGTTTACTATGCTCCAGGCACCATTCTAAAAGCGGCACATTCACATAAGACCTGTGAGTTGGTCCTCTTACTATTTTCAGTTTATAGCTGAGGACATGAGGGTGAGTGACCTGGCTGGTTGTGGCAGAGCTGGGAGGGGAATCTGTTTAGCCTCGATGCAGACTCCAAGACCTTAACAAGTTCATGGTATCAGCACTCCCTTGCAGTATAGGTCTCTTACAAACAAGCTTCATATGGGGATGCCACTGTAAGATGACTTAACGCCTATCGTAGTCTTTTTCCTTTTCTGTAACAACTGATGGTACTGATCAGTGTTTGAAAATGAAATTTCCCCTTCCCATGTGATTATGCATTAGTTTCCATTTGATCATTTCTGTGAAAATCACAGCGCATAGATTCTTCCGTGTATTTGAGTAGCGTCTGTATCACTGGCATGTGATCTCCAAACTACAGGGCTGCTCGGTAGCCTATATTCCAAACCTAACTTAAAAACCTAATTTCAGTTGACCTGGTTTCCCTAGAAATTCAAGTTTAATTCACCATTAAGGGGTACCTAGAATGTATTTTTTAAATACACATACATACATACATACA